TTTTTTTTTTTTTAAATCTTTATTGAACAAGTCAGGATACAATTCTCAGGAAACAGAAAAGGCGCTAATCCAATCACCGAATGCTCACGGCCAGTCTCGACGTAAGGCCTTCTCGCTAGCCCTAGTATGCAGCGAGAACAAGTCAGGATACAGGATACAGATCACGAGTCTAGACTCGTGATCTGATGGGCTATTGAAACCTGACTGTGCCCGTTCACTTACAGCGCACAGGGGCCTGCTCTGTTTAATCTGAAGGCCCCGAGCAAATTTAATTTACCTGGCAATATAGCTAGCTGAAATATGATTGGTTAAAAACTCGACCATAATAAATAAGTTATTTATCGAGTGGCTTTCAATCTTATTTAAAATAACATTGAAAGCCACTCAACTAAGTGGAAATAATACAACGTAAAGAATACAGAGAATAATTTTGTTTACATATTTATGAAAATAAAATAACATAAATTATAAAATAACATAAAATACATAAAAGTAAATTTACTTTTCTGAGAATGTTTAGGCCAGCAGAGAAGGCCTTGCTGGCCCTCAGGGTCCGCCACTGCACCTTGGATGGCCTAAAGAGAAGTCCTGAAGTTGAGACCGTGGTTAGCTGTGCAGAACGAATTCAATGTTTCCGTTCTGTATGAAAGCGATGACATGCGTATTACCTCTTCCAACATGTTGTTCATAAAATGTAGGAAGATAGTTACCGTCCTGTAACAATCAAGAACAATTTTACATTCCTAACAGGACTCGTTTCCAGTACTCTGCCGGGTTCGAGAATTACATTGGTGAGCTCTTACCAAAACGAAATCCTAAATGAAATCTCTTTTCTGTTTCAAAACTCCAGTGTTGTTTTTGTTAGTGGTAATTACTTAAGCTGTCTGTTTTGAAATTGACTATATTATATACCGTCTAATGTACTGTGATCCAGATTGGGACGACACGCTATTCAACTGAGTTTTCACAACTTTTCCCAGCTAACTCAGAAAACATTTTCATGAAGCAGTTGAATGCACATCTTGCCGGCCGGGTCTGAAGTCAGAGATATGAGACATGACATTTCAGCTCACGTTCTTTTGGGCGGCACTAACCTTTATTGATCCCGACCAGACATTTGACATTTACTACGATAAGGAAAAAGAAAAACACAGCCTTGCAGAAATTTGCCACTGAACTTTATACTTCTGAGGAATTTTCATATTGTTTCACTTATTTTTGCTCTGTCTCAGTCCATATACCAATTTCCAGTCACATTTCCATATAATTAATTGTGAATGATGCCCAAAGAATAGTTCATAAATGTGATTTGTTCCAGTTTTTCATCGTAGCCTTATCTCTCAATTTACTAGGCCGCTGTAGTCTGTCCGAGTTGCTTCGGTGTAAATTATGGCATCGGATTAACGCGTAGTTTTCTCCATGTCTTGCATCAGTAATATACTGTACATGTCTATCCCAGCAGTGGTGCACCTGCTCTTTAATGCACTTTGACTTGTAACCTTGTGTGTCATAAGTCCTGCAGAAGTACGCAGCTTGTGGGCCCAGCTACGGCGAGATGAGCCACACCTTTTATCCAATTTTGAGGACTTCTTGGCAAGGGTGACGTCCCAGATAATTTTGGCTAACCAGGAAAAAAGGGAGATGGAGAGCGCTCTGAAACGGTCAGGGGATATCTTATTTCTCTACATTCTATAATTGAGGCTTTTATTATAACACAAACAGCATTTTTTTCACAAAAAAAAAAGTCCCTTCTGCATAAAACCGCTTTTATGTGAAAATCATTGAACTAACTTTATTTGCGCTGCAAACGGAGCAGTACTCACTCTGTGTGTCCTATAGAAAAGCAGCTACACACGATGATGAGATCCATCGCCTTTATGAGGAAATGGAGCAGCAAATAAAGAATGAAAGAGAACGGATTGTGCTGCAGGTAAAAAAAAAAAAAAAAAGTGTTGTTATTTTTAGATAAATACAATCAAATTCAATTGAAATAAAATACAATGACATTGAAATACCATCATCAAACAATGCCTCTCATTCATCTGTTGTGCTTGTAACTCCGTCTCGCACCACTCAAGGACTATAAGAGGTTTGTGTCTCGCAGTCAAGACCTTGAAAGAAAGCTGACCAGCAAGGAGAAAGAGTTAGAGCAGCTCTTTCAGAAGCAGAGGAGGGTGAGTGAAGAGTTGAAGAGTCACACTTAATTTTGCACAATTTTTCACATCTTTAAAGACGAATGCCTTTATTGGACTAGTGGTTAGCGCGTCGACCTCCCAGTGCAGAGGTCGTGGGTTCGATCCGGCTCTGGCTTTCCTGTGTGGAGTTTGCATGTTCTCCCCGTGCTTGTGTGGATTGTCTCCGGGTACTCCGGTTTCCTCCCACATTCCAAAAACGGCTGATTGAACACTCCAAATTGTCCCTCGGTGTGAGTGTGAGGGCGGATGGTTGTTCGTCTCTGTGTGCCCTGCGATTGGCTGGCAACCGGTTCAGGGTGTCCCCCTGAGGCGAGACTAAGAAGAATTCAGAAGAATGATGACAATGATGATGATGATGATATTGATTGAGTAGCTTGCATTGTCTCACTAAGCCATCAATGATTTGGAGCTTCTCTTCTGCGTTGGGTACTTTCGGAAGGGGAACTAGCGTGAGGAACTAGAGAGCTTTTATATTTACGAACACTATATCATTCTATTGCCAATATATTCACGTGGTCAGTGATGCCGTGGGTTTTTGAATGATACACCCCAAATCACGGCACATCCAACTATAATGTTTTGCCACCGCTGGCCCGTTGGCAGTTGGAAGATCAGTGTCAGGAGCTTCACAGTGAGCAGCATGTGACCAAGGTGGAGAACGTGAAGCTGAAGAAGACAAATGATGAATTAGCGGAGGAACTGCAACACACGAGTCAAGAGCTGCTCTTGGCACAGGAGCAACTGAGTCTGCTCCACGAGCAGTCCACGCGACTCAATGAGGAGAAGGAGATGTGAGTAACAAGACCCCAGCCCTTTAATTTCAGCATTTTTACGCCTTTTGTGAACTAGAGACTATTGCGTAAACCTTGGACTGGTCACCTGCTGGTTTACCCTGCTTTTTACACTTGCACAAAAGACAGATGACACAGTTTTCTCAATAACAACACCAATAATGCATGTGCTGTTGTTTGTAATAGCGAAATATACAGACTGACAGAGGGACTCCAGCGTGAGCGAGCAAGCCTTCTCAAACAACTGGACTTGATGAGGTGTGGATATTTGCAACGCTGTTTACATCAACTCTAAAAGCTGCAACACTTTCAAAGTTTTCGCTCGCATACAAGTTAATTGATTACGATATTTAGAATTATTTGTCAAATTCACTGTTGCTGAGTCAGTGATTCACTTGACAAACTTTTATTCCACTGATGTGTTGTTTTACCGCCAACACATTTTGGCTCGGTTTTCGTGAATTGGCATCTGAATGCGTAGGCTTCTTTTTAATCACGGATTACAAATGATCAGTCTGATGGCAAATATTTAACTGTCTCTGATATTTTCTTTCTTTCAGGGAATTGAACAAACATCTACGAGATGAAAAAGACATTTTCATTCAGGTTTGTGAGATGCATGAAAGCCGACTTTATTGATTGTTGTATGTCAGGTTTCTTTACTGCATGCCTCTCAAAGTTAAAAAGATCAAGAAAAATAATGAATGTGTTCATTTACATGTTTGGCATTACAGAAACCAACAAATTGTAAGACGACAGGATTACAGCCGGGTCCCCTTTATAATGCTGGGGGTCACAATCACTTCCCCAAAAGGTAAAAAACTAAAATCATCAAGTATGTGGAGAGGAACCTCCAAGGTCAAACACAGATCATTTCCTTAACACATGATCGACTTGTTGGGGGAAAAAAAGATTAATCATTCTTCCTGCCTAAAAATGTGACAAGTGTAACATCTTTAACAGTCAAGGCATTTTTATATTCATAATCATTATAAATGGTGTCAAGATAAGTTCACTAATTTGAAATAAAACTCATATAAAGTAAATCTTTAAGGCTTTGAGGATGCCGGTCAGAATGTCACCTGGTGGTCTTTTATAAATATTGCTGGATTGAATACAGTAAGTGTAAATTGGTAAGCGGTATAACACAGCTTGACCTTTGCGGTTCATATGTAAGTACCGTTTTGGCGACTGTATGATTAACATGGACGCTTCTTGGTAAAATGATTTTCATACATACAGTCATTAATTTTCAACGGTATCTGTCATATTGTATTGAGAAGCCAAATGCTTTCCTATGTTGTGTTTGTGCATTGTGTGCGTGTTCTCGAAAATGTCGGTTGAAGTCCAAATTGGACCACTTTCTGGTGTTTGACTGAGGGGGTTTCACTACGCGTGCACTTTTTCATCGTATATTTTGTCAAGAACAAATTAAACAGTCTGCTTTCATATAATCTATGGCTGTCTTGAAAACGTACATCCAGTGAGGAGGAGGAAGAGGATGTAAGGCAAAATCCAGCCAATGTGTCAAGCTGCCCGTGTGGTCCAGAGGTGACCAGAGGTTACTTACAGAGGATCATCTCGATCGAGGAGGACCACCTCCCACATTTGCTCCAAAATGGCACTCAGGCTCAAATCCCTCTACAGCCGTTTATTGAAGGCGAGGATGTGTCAGACCATGAAGAGAATATCGACTTGGAGATGAGCGATATTTACCATGCTCAGCCGAAGCCGTCACAGGGAGCCGGAGAAATAAGTCAAACTCCCATGTCTCCAAGGGGGCAACCCGTTGGGAAGGAGACCAGCATAAATGTGAGCCTATCGGCATCTTTGTACTTTGTACTATTTCCTCCCTTTTTTTTCAGTGAGGGAGTCCGCAAACCCACAACTTTATTTATTGCTTCTGAATGTGTAGGAGGAAAGAAGTCCGTCACTGCCCGACCGTCTCTTTAAAATCGTTCTGGTGGGGAACTCCAATGTCGGCAAGACCTCCCTCCTTCGACGCTTTTGTGATGACTGTTTCAACCTTGACACTTCTGCCACTGTTGGTATGAGTCCTCGAGCTATGTCAGTCCATACATGTTTCAAATTATAAAGGTGTGTAGGACATTATCTAATAACGTGCAAAAATCAAATGCGTTTGTTGGGATTTATCTTCTTTTGTCAAATGTCTACACCAAAATAAATTCCTGAAAAGGTTATGCCATATTCTTGTAAGTCACTGCAATGTTATGCACGTTTAGTGTGAAGTCAGTGTTTCATTTGTGTACCACTGGAGGGAGCCTCCGTACCATTGTTGGTTGTAGTACCACACTTGAGAGTCACTGCTCCAAATTATCCAGAGGTATGAATGTAAGTGTGAATGGTTGTTTGTTTCTCTATACGTGCCCTGTGATTGACAGGTGACCAGTCCAGGGTGTACGCAATAGTCTCCAGTTCACCCGCGACCGTAACAGGACATGCAGTGTAGAAAATGCGTGGGTGTATAGTTCTGAAAAAAAGTGTTTTAAGATTTTGTTTTGGATCATATTTCTGTGTACATGCTGGTTGATATATTCATCTCATTTTTTGTAGTTCTTGATAAGTTAGCTTAGCTTTGCCGTTGACTTGGTATTAGGTGGTCTTGTCGATCATGAAGTTACAAGTGCAGCAAATGTAATGCGGAAACTGTGTTTGCAGGTATTGACTACAGTGTGAAGACAATACTGGTAGACAACAGCCAGGTGGCGCTGCAGGTCTGGGATACAGCAGGACAGGAAAGGTAATTCAGCTGCTTTTTCTCACATATAATTGAATTGTCATGTTTTGGCGTTGAAAGCGCACTGCGTTTTTAATCAAAAGGAAAATGTATTTTCAATCAAAGGCTTGTTATTTTGTGATTGTGGAGCTGCTTTCAAAGTTTCACGACTTAATGAGCTTTTTTTTTTTCTTTCTTTCACGCTCTACTTTTTTAATTGACTTTTTCCTCTCTTTTTAGGTATCGAAGCATCACCAAGCAGTTTTTCCGCAAAGCTGATGGTGTGGTTGTGATGTATGACATAACAGTTGAGCAGAGCTTCACAGCTGTCAGACAGTGGCTGACAAGTGTCATGGTAAAATGGAATATTTGTGCATTTTTCCCTGTCATCTAATAGCCACAATATACAAGTTGGGCCAAAACTAGCATGGCAGGTCGTGTTAATATTAAAATGTTCATATTAATTACGAGGTGTTAATGTAATAACATGTTTTAGTCCTGTGAAATGTAAGCCTACTTATGGCCCACCTTGTATATATTTAGTCCTGATTGTCGGTCTCCATTCCCTTCTCTTGTCATAGGAGGGCTCAGGTGAAGATATAACTTTAATGCTGTTGGGAAACAAAACTGACTTAGAAATTGCGAGACAAGTGCAGAAATCAATGGGCATGAGGCTGGCCAAGGTACGTCTTATCTTTCCAAGAGTAAAACTGTCCTCTGTTGTGCCACATCTCTTACCAACTAAAGTTGTATTGTATCTGTCAGTGACATTTAGAAAAACATGTTTTTTTTTTAAGGAACGTCAGATGACTTTCTTTGAGTGCAGTGCATGTTCAGGGTATAATGTGATGGAGGCCATGCTTCATCTGGCTCGGTAAGAGTCCTTTGCTTTTGTCACCCCCAAAAAATAAATAAATAAAACGCCAAAATCTATTTCCAAAGTATTAAATGAAGTGGGATTTTTTTCTTTTTTAAGAGGGAATGCTGACTTTGAGTGAAAAGTTCTGCTTCATTTTGCAATTGGTTGAGACAATATTTTGTCTAAATGAGATTGATCCTCTTTCCTTCAGACTTACACAATTTGCCCAGCCAACCATCGTCAAGCTTCACCAGTGTTACCATCAGTAGTCATCATCGTTTACATTAAGTACCCACTTTGAATATTTTTTGTTCCCACTCCATTTACTCCACGCTGCTGGAAGCACTCAAAAAACATTATGTGATAAAACAATGAGATTGTAAGTAGTCCCAGAGATAAATAACAGCACATCACGCTTGAAACAGATATGAGACGGACAGCACAAATAAAGCAGTTGTGCTTCGATCCCATCCGCTTGTTCTGGAGAGTTTCTGACTTGTTTTTCGTCACGTTGTGTCTCAGAACCTTGAAAGAGCAAGAGGACCGAGAAAAAGAGAAGACTGTCCAGTTGGTCGGCAGCTCAACGGAGAAGAAAAAATCCTGCTGTTAACAGATAACACACACAATACTGTACGCATGTTTGCAAGCTTGCCCTAATTATTCTAAATGTCAACAAAACTGTCTTGTGGGGGCACACCAAAAATGTTCCCAGGCATATTATATCAAAGGAAGACACAGTTAAATCAAAACCTTTTAAAAGTTGCCTTTCTCATGCAGACAGGATTTTAATTATATATGTATGTAGATGCAGAGTGATTTTTCACGCAATTCCCTTTTGTATTACAGCATAATATAAATATTTGAAAAAATGTGAATTAGTACTGAGCTGTCTTGAGGTCACTAGTGTGTGTGTTTTTAAGTTACTGGTGTCTCGGGACTGTTGTTCATAGGGTTCACCTGAATGTTGTCATGGGAAAATCGAGTATTTGCTGCTTATGTTGTTTCTGTCTCCATTTTGTTTTAGTTTTTTTTGGTCTCCAGCTCACGTAGTTTAGTGTCTATTCTGTAAAGCATTTTGTTGGGTAGTTGCAATCATTGACTTTTTGGAGACAATCAAATTTATTTGATTGTGAAGAAAGCATGCATTTTCATCAGATGCACCTCATCTACTTGACACGTATTTTATACATTATACCCCTCATTCTTCAATGTAAAACCAAGTATGTTAAATAGTTTGCATGTGATTTTGGAATTCAGCTCTACGATTGTATTGTTATTCTAAATGACTCACTAATTAATCGTGGTTCACTACCCCCAATGTCTTGCACTTCACTTTAATGTATACACCGAGCTATTTAATTAGTGTACAAAAAATAAACAATTGGGTGTTGTTCATATAAGGTGGTGGTTTTTCACAGAACCAGACAGTGGATGATTTTACACATTGCAGTTTATTCCATTTTTCAGACCTCATAAAAACATATGAAACATCATATTTGAACTGAATATAAATAAGTCAATCAATAGAAGATGCATAAAAACATGCTAGTTTATTATAGTTCTGCATTTTGTTTAATACTGTATAACACATTTTTTTGGGATGATTGGAGACTCCCAAGAGTTCCCAGTAAGTTATCCTGAAAATTGCTTTGAACATTAACAATTTGTAGCAGTCAGCTGTGCAATAAGGAGCTGTTCATTTTCAGAAATTAGCTAATTGATCAATCTTAGTATTTTTTTTTAATTGTGTATTTTATATTAATCAAGCCTCTTAAGGCTTTCAAAAGGAAAACCTCTTCAGAGTAACAAGATACTCTTGTTTATCTTACTGATTAACTACAAAGCAAAGTTTACAGCCTATTGTTGCAGGCCTCATGTGGACAATTTGATAGATTGTGTGATAATTGCCAGGTTCACATTTTTGGGGGGTAAAACCAGTATAACCCTAAAAGATTTGACATGGCTAACTTAAGTGCACCCTAATAAATGAACTAATGTAAATGCAGCATTGAGAAATAGAATCAGGAACACTTGGGAACTTGGTCAAGGCATTAAGGGAGGACAAAGACTCATCAGCCACTTGGTTAGGGGATCCGGTACAAGAGCGATATTAAAGAAAGACCTTTACAAAGATCTTAATGCTCACTTTTAATTGTGATTTATGTTTATTATTGTTTCCAGCGGTGTAGAAATACACAGCATCATACTGATTTTGTGAAGAATATATCTATATATATTTTAATACAGCTCTTGTGCTGGATCACATTGTATTCTACACTTGCCGTTATTGAAGTAGCATGTCAAACAATACCAAAACTGCCTGTTCAACTGATGATATGGGGAACAATAGTATGGAGTTGGGCAAAGGTGTCACCTTTGACACTGTCCATCACGCAAGGTATCAGCACTGTACACTCACAATTTAACACCTTACCTTTCACATGACTCACACACACACACACACACATCTAGTAAACTTCCTGCAGCAGGTTTGTCCTTGGCTGTTGTGCTCAGATGAATAGTTTGACCATTTCTGAGCCTTACATGACACAACTACAAACTTAAATGGTTTATCTGACAGCCGCAAAGGGTCAAACCCAACCAAATTAAGATGTCGAACAAACAAAATGGACAACACAGTCATTGGACAGATACTCCTACGCAATGAGGTCCGAATTATGCTGAAAAACAAATGACACAGGTACATCACTCCCATTTCACCAACATGTACAGCGAGAATCTAACTCTGAACAAGTTAGAGCAAAAACAACCCCCCCGCCCCCAACCCCGCACCCACCATTACATTCAAAGTTGTTTAACAGTCTGCGCCCATGGCTTCTTGACTGACAACATCCATAGCAAGTTGTTAGTGGGGCCACCTCTGTACTCTGCCCCGTTCTTCCATCTTCATTCCATTCCAAAAAAAAACCCTCCCTGGACTTATTTGTCCAGGGAGGGTTTTTTTTGGAATGGAATTTTTTTTTTTTGTCTTCCTCTGCTCCTCGCAAGTGTATTTAATCCCAGTTTCCTGCAAAACCTAGCGCATCTTGTAGTCGTGGACTATCGCTGCCTCACACAGTTGTCCTTTGAAATCCAGTTCAAAGGTGAAGTCCAAGTCCCGCTGCGGGCACAGACAAAAAAAAAAAGTTTGTCAAACATTTCAAGTGAGAATACTGGAGGGGAAAATGTGAAGTAGTGATCAGATCACATTTTAAATTAAGTCACATAACAGTGAAATTACCATTCCAAGAGTTATTGTTTCTATCCAAATATTTTAATATTTTTAAAATGGCCAAGTAACCGTTAGCGATGTGCCTTTTTCTGAAAACGTGCATGTGAGATAGACGTTCTGCACTTTTACTCTAACGTTACAAAATTGTGGAGCGAATTCACATAATGACCACCCTTTCGACTTTCTCAGCCAATGACATGATCAGCGAGACTGGACGACGTTTCAGAGCTGAGCGTAACTTCAACTTTGACGCCATGGGTATAAACACAATCATGGTCTACATACTGGTTACTGGAAAACTACAGTCCAGATGTACAGGATTTCCCACTCCCAAAACGCTGGCAGTAATGTTATCTCATGTGTCTGGTTTGATATTTCTTTATGAATGGGCTTTTTTTCATGTTACGAATGTTATGACAACCTCAAGTTTATTCTGGCTTCTATACTGTATTTACAAAATACTTTGGAATTTTTTGAGACATGTTTTCATGTTGATTTGCATGCTTGATTTGCAATCGGTGACCAAATACTTTGAACATTTTGTTTAAATCAGCGGTAAGATAATCTCTATATTGACAAGAGTGCTTATATGACATCCCTAACTGTTTATGTGACTCATTTTCTATATTCATAAGAAGATTTTTGGAAACTCGACAATTGTATGATGAAGTCTTGTCAAAAGTTACCAAGTATAAAGATGAGGAGTATAGAATCCTCGTTTGTTCAACACAGAGGAGAACAAGGTCAACAGTTGTCTGCATTGCTACTGGTGCCGACTTGGCTCGTCAGTAGTCACCATACAAAAAAAGAGTTTACACGTCAGTCATCACCATACAAAAAAGAGTTTACTGTGGACAGGCAGCTCGTTGGGTGAGTCAGACGTTCATTAATCCCGATCAATGTGACGTATTGATAGTTATGGACATCCGGCTATCTCCACATCCGGGACTATGAGAGAAGCTTTGTGTAACACGTACAATATTTTTGTCATTTGGCTTCATTGCAATGCTGCCAGTGATTTCCTCTCCTCTTCGCACAGTTAAGTAGTCCTCCAGGTAGAACACGGTCTGCTTCCAGTGGGTGTATGCAGCATTCGGAGCTAGGGGACACACACACACACACACACACAAAATCAGATGTGATATGTTGAAGATTCCTCATGATCCAAATGAGAATATAAAATAGGTGAATGGATGATGGCTGAATGAAAGTCAAGGCATCAAGCCCGAGCTATGATTGATCAACTGATGAGGAATTATGCCTCTATAGTTCTGAAGGAAAAACACATGCTCCTTCCTTGGCAAAAAATAAGGAGTGATACAAATTTCTTGTCGAGGTTCTACAAAATCTAAAGTCTGCAATAAGCAGAACCAGTAGGCTTTGTGATTGTCTTGGTGTGAAGAAATGGTCCAAAGTGGCAAATAATAACACTTCTTGAACACAGTATGTCAGCTTTAAATGGAGGAAACCTCTTTCTTATGTGTGTGTGCGCCTATCTGTGCATGTGTGTGTTTTGTTTGGATCTGACTGACAAACCAATTAAGATCATGCTCGAGTGCTCTGACCGTCATTGACAATAGCTTAGCTGACATTCAAAATATGAGCTGCACTTGAGTCAGAATGTTCAGCCTGCTGTGCTGTGCTGTGGCAGCAATACATCTTTTCTTGTCTGTATAAACAGTTCTTTGAGTGTATTATATAAAAGGAACTGCCAAATGAATCCTTTTTTGGTCAGATCTTGTTGTCATGTAAATTAGGAGACGAGCTTGCAATTTTTTCCCCTCTGCTTCTCCCTGGTCAGGCTACTCCTGTTTTTGTCCAAGTTGAGATATTTATTTCAGCATATGCTTAGTGATTAGGATTGGAAAATTCCCAACTATAAGGGAGTCGTTTTAGAGAACGAGAGCTACAATTACATGGCTATATTGATGATGATTTTGCTGTATTATTTGAACACGTAATCATAAAATGACCGCAACTGCCATTTCTAACAAATGCAATTTATCCTATCGCCACTAGAGGTCAGTCCCAATATAGCAGAGCAGTTTGTCCCTCTTGCATATACTGTAGTGCAAACTGCAACTTGAAAAGAGGCACATATACTTAAAGGAATCCCTCTTTGATAGGGTCAGTAAAAACAGTCTGAAGTCCCTTTGCAAAAAAAAACAAAACAAACCCAAAACAAAAAACACCTTTTCAACATAGCTCTTCAATGGGATATCATAACTGCATATCGCGCAACTGGCTGGTCAGTGCAATTGTGTCCCTGTTCTTGTAGAGATTAGATCAACTCCATGGAGAACGGAGACAAAGCAAATATTCGAAAATGTCTGGAGACTCAGAATTCAATTGTAGTTTGGACTACTGCTGATGAGATCCCCTCCCCACTCACTCTCACACACACACACACACACACACACACACACACACACACACACACACACACACACACACACACACACACACACACACACATTTATTCCATCTACCCTGCGGCGTTCCCTTTGTATTTGTTAGGAAAAAGGTTCAATAAATTAGCCAACATTCATTCATGTGACTTTTCAACAATTGCACTTAAAACAATTCAAAATGAAATAGCTGTGGCATCTTACCAGTGGAGAAACCAGTCTTTTTGTGACATTTGGTGAATTCGATGTTGAAATAGGTGACTAGTGCATGTATGTAGTCATTTCTCTGGATCTGCAGGCAGAATGCTGTTGTGAAAGAGAGGTCTTCAGGCTTCACTGTGTAAATGTCCACCTCCTGTTAGCGGAAAGAGATGGATGTCTCACTTATACAGTAAGCTCACAGGTAAATCATCATAAAGCCTCATATCCAACCATGCGATTGTTGCAGGCTTGTACGTGGGTCACCTGGTCTCCTTCTCTGATAAAGATTGTCGTTAGAGACAGATTTGTTCAGCTATTATACCACTACACTATTAAGATTTTTATGTCAATAAATGACATTTAAATGAACTTTATGTCAATCCATTCTCTTCAATGCTTATCTTGTTCAGGATCAAAGGGAACGAGCATTTTCCTTTTCAAATGAGCAAGGATGTTGAAGACCACTTTTTTTTCAGACCGATACCACTACCACTAGTACTCAACTCCTGAGTGCTCGTCGATATCGACACCAAGTAATCAAAATTGCTCGTACTATTGACACATACAATTTCGATTAAATCAAAGACAGATAACACCGGTCAACAGCAAATTTTATCAGAGACGACTTTGTGTCCCTAATTGTATTTGTGATGGTGATTTTTAAAAACGCCTTTATTTGTTTTTTAACGCATCAGGTCACTGAGACATTTTCATAAGACCAATAAAAGCTCACACAATACGGATTCACCATACGGAATTTATTGCTATGACATTTCAGAAATAATTTCCACCTTAGTTCATAAATATTGCCATATTAAAACATTATTACAGCAATACAGTATAAATATATCACTATATTATTATTATGAAAACCTGATGTGCAAGCAAAAAAGAAATGAGGGGAGATTTGGAATCAGCGCAAAAAGCCCTCAAAACTTTGCTCAAAATGAATTGAAAGTGCAAAATAATACAGGTTCAATGGGTTAACTGTGTTAAACATGACGCAAAGTGTAAGTATTTCATGCTGGCCGATATCAATGAATATCAATTTTATTTATTTATTTATTTTTTTACCTATTCAAAGTAAGAAAAAACACAGTGAATTGATACTGATTGATAAGAAAATGGAACCATCCAGAAGAAAAATATTCATATGACAAAATATAGATACATGCAAGTACAAAAAAGTGGAAAAAGGTGAGTAGAGCACTGTGGATAATACACAAGGACAAACACTACATTGAGTGTCCTTCATTCAACAGGAAAAAAATACTCCTTATTAATGGACAAAACAACAATATTCTGTTTTTCTCATGTAGGAATTGAGGTAGCAATTTTTTTCAATGGTAGTAATACATTAATAATGCACTCTGAGCATTAATATGGACCTTATAACCATCCATTTAGTGACAGAAATTGCATCTTAATGGCCAGATAGGAGTGACATGGTTGTAGTTCGGAAAAAAAACCTTTTGTCAGCCATGATAAGTAGAACGGCCAGAAGAGGGTGCCATTCTTATCGGTGACTGGTATCGGCAGCCTTCACAATACCTTGATACTTTGAAATACTGTAATCGTCCTGATATGATTCCTGGTATTGGTATTGACTCATCCCTTAAAATAAAGGTCGTGATCTTGAAGGGTCAGTGATCTATTGACCATCCGATTGGGAAGCTGAACAGTGTAAACTTGTGCGTAGTCCAAATCCGGTGTGTTGATTTAAATTCGGTTTATTTGCAATACTGATAAGAGTTCTAGAGGGGACTGCAGTTCATCCAAAAGTTTAATGCCAGCATCAAGTTAACGTGTGAAATTCCCGATTGTTGCTATTGTTCTTTTTTGACTGCGAGCCTGTAATGGTTTTGGTGCGGGATGATGTGTGCTGTGATAAATTTTAGTGACTGTCAATAAAACCAGAGGAATATTGCTGTTGAAGATTCCTGATGTTTTTAATAAGTAGCAGCATATCAGCGGCCACATTTCAAAGTTTAGGACAACTCTTCAGTCATTTTCAATTTTTTTCTCACTTTGTCAGGTTGCCTGACCCTGCTCCTTGAGCCCCGCTGTTTCTTTTCCCTGTGTATGAGTGTTTTATTGTGCAGAATTGGAAAGACTAGCGGTGCTGGCACCAGTTGCAAACAATCTCACTCTGTGGCATAGTTAAGCCGGTACCGAGCTCCACTACATCACCAAATTAATACTCTCGAATATGAGTGTGTGCAGCCAGCCATCTTGAGTATTTCCTGAGTATTTTCTGATTTTGACCCAGTCTTCTTATTTGTATTCCCAGATCATTTCACGGCCTATCTGCCAATTGTCTCCAGTCTCTGGGATTGGGCCCTCCACACGCCCGGAGTTTTAGTGCCATTTGACTTGTGATCCTCGTTACAAACTGCAGTATAATAAAGTAATGATCTGTTGGCACAACATCACAGACATATAATCAGAATGAGCTCACTCGGTTAAAATAGTATTTAAGATGGGTGTTATTGTTGGAACCATTGTTTTGTCCTTTCGTTATTTTCACAGTGCTTGTGGCTCGTTACGAACTCTCTGTAATATTTCATAATTAGCATCAAAAGCTGGTTTATTTAAAGGATAGAAAAGGGTTGCCTGCCAACTAGCACGCGAGCAAGCAAGCAGAAAGCACTGATGGAATAATCGCATCACATGACAGAATGAAATTGGGTTGAATCAATTGTAGCAAAATGACTTGCAGAAAGGTCACATGCAAGGCATCCCGCTGAGATGCAGCAACGAGAGGTTAAATGTTTGAGGCACATCACACACTGTTCTTTTGTATTTGACACCTATTATCACTGTATTAGACCGGATAAAATATTTTTCCTTTTTCAAAAAGCTCTCCCTGGCTGATTTGATCTGTTGTTTGAAATTATTGCTATTCTGGTCACTGTTGCCTGTACTGCGCACATGAGATTTGTCTCCAAATACAAAGTTAATCAAAAAATAAGATCTATTGTTCTTATTATTGCAATAACATCCGTCTGACTCAAACTTCTCCGTTACAGTCAGCCACAAGGGTTTGATCCTCGAATTTTGTTTTTATATTCTCCTGGCCCGACAGAACTTGATACTGTCACGTGTGATCGCTCCACTTCAGTGCAAAAAAAATGGTCATGACCTCTTTCTGTTCCAAAACTGCACTTCATAATTTCTGTCAAGCTGGAGTTGTTGTTGTGGCTTCTGGCTCGCTTTATCTCATCTAATCGGTGTTTTTCAACTTTAGATGCGCCACTGGGCATGTTTTACAAAAGAAAAATCCCACCACACATCAACAAACACAAATGTCACAAAATGTCTACGCCATTGCAATAATGACGATCTTGTCTTGATTTACTCACAATTGTACTTAGTGTAAAATCTGTGCCTGTTTGGTTGAACACAAAGCTGATATGCTTGCAGCAATTAAAGCCACTCCGAGCTCATTTCTAATTGTTTTCAAACCACTGAAATTAAATATGAGACCTTGCCTATGTGACCCTAACCAGCTGAATAGAAAAAAAGGATTCATGAATTGAAAATTCATTAGAACCGATAGCCGCACGCCATTTCAACGGGAGCAAAAGAAAATTTGACATACCTTGACGAGGCAGGAGTTGGTCACGACCTGTTTGGGGTCCACGACGTCAACTAGAGGCTCCTTCATTGCCACATTGCGGATACAAGTCATGTCAAAGCCGTATACGTTCTCCCACCCTTGAAAAACAGCATAATTACTCTGGTATGTTAAAGATTAAAATATGTACAACTCATGCAAATTGCTACTTGGCGATTGTTTTATTGTGTGTTGAAAAGCCAAGGGATATAAACATTGTCGAGCTATGCTGTGCAGCTAGAAAACCACAACAGGCCAGGTTGCTCGCCACTGGGTTTCTCAGAATGTCGGGCTCCCAATGCCTGGAGTTAGCTTTTACGGTGTTTGGAAGCAATTTGCAATAATTTGACACATACATGAAGTCAGATACTTTGTCAACATAAAGCGATGTAAACGCTGACTTCACAATCTTAGCAGACAGGCAGGATAGGAGATTACTGAACATTATTCATTGGAACGCAACAATTCTATTTGTGAGCCAAACTAATGAGCATTTTTTTTTTTTATAGGGGAAAATTTGCGGGTCACATATCTGACAATGTTCCACATTCAGATTAATGATGGTCCTTATACTAAGACGGTGCTTTGGTTCGCTCAGAGGAGCTGTGAGGAGCGCAACGTGTTGACTGAACGCCGCATAAGGCCACTTCTACCTCAGTGCAAAGGTCAAACGAGGCCATCTGCCCACAGAACGAGGAGACGAGTGCGGTTTGTGCAACCCTCGGTTCAGTTCGCCCATGTGTGAAATTCACATTTACACAACTCCACTGCATTAAATAAATAAATTGTATCCGAAGAGTAAAAATAGTCTGATGTCCCAGCAAAGCTGCAGGCTGCCTGAGTATAGTGACACTTCCACGCAACGAGCCGCGTGCTACAAATTGCATGGAATATAAATTATCACGCAATTTAGCAGTTACATAAAAGTGACATAAAAATATCAAAAGTCAACATGCTTGCTTGTTATCTTTGGAACAGAACAAAGAAAATATATATATATAACTAACCACATATGCTTGTTTTAAGATATTTTACCATGCTCAGATTTACATTTTTGCAACGCATAACTTGGAAGTCGTCCTCTCTGGCTGCGTTTTTTTTTTTTTTTTGCCTTTGACGTTCTTAATTTTAGCGACGTCACTTTCTTATCCGATCAGTTTGTAATCTGGTACTGGTGATCGAAGCGCGGTTCTCTGTTTGTTTGTTAATGATTATTGAGATGCAAGAGAAAGATTGGAGACACACCGTCTGACATCTTGCTGACACTACTTAACTTCTTTTTCAGAGATGACTGAAGCAAGTTCAACGGATGTCATCACCTGGCATATTTCATGAATTGTGACTGGCAGTTGAATAAAGGTTCCTCCGCAGAGCTTGACGTTTCACAGCTGTTGTAGTTTAGTCATACAGCAAATATATTGCAGAAGGTTATTATGAAAACGTTATTTTATTTACGGTCAGTGTTCCACTTGTATGATATATGGACAGTATAACAATGGCTTTGGCACTCTTCTTTTGCTTTGTATCCAGAAGGAAACATCACCCACAGCCCTTGTTGTGCTTTTGGAGTGAGATGACTCAGAGATGGAGAGGCTTGTTGACTAATATTAGCCATTAGCCAGGGTAAGCGTGAGCACCAGTTTAAAACAAATCATTTGTAGAACTGAAATAGCTGCATTCCGTTGAATTTGCGATGGGTCTATGGACACATGCACATTGGGAAGTGCAGTCCTATTTTTTGTGGCATTTCTTTGATATAACCCAACACGTCTCACATTTGATCTTGTTACTTCTGCCAGAGGTTCATCCATAAACACCAGGCAACATGTGCCATTGGCACGCATACATACTCGTGTCCCCTCCGTGAGCCGTCACCTTACCGTGGTGGAGGGGTTTGTGTGTCCCAATGATCCTAGGAGCTAAGTTGTCCGGGGCTTTATGCCCCTGGCAGGGTCACCCATGGCAAACAGGTTCTAGGTGAGGGACCAGACAAAGCACGGCTCAAAGACCCCTTATGATGAGTACAATTAATGGATCTCAGTTTCCTTTGCCCGGACGCGGGTCACCGGGACCCCCCTCTGGAGCCAGGCCTGGAGGCGGGGCTCGTTGGCGAGCGCCTGGTGGCCGGGCCTACACCCATGGGGCCCGGCCGGGCTCAGCCCGAAGAGGCAACGTGGGTCCCCCTTCTCAT